CGGTCCCGCCGCCGCTGAGTCATCCCTCGCTCCGCCGTCCGCGTGGCCCGGTCCGGCACCTGCTGCCAGGTGGCTGCGCCCCGAGGTCCTGCGCGGGACGGGGGCCTCCCGGGACCCTCTCCAGGGGCGCCTTCTTGGACCCAGAAATAGGGGCCCGCGCTTTCGGGGTCTGGGGAAAGCCCCCCCAACTTTTCACGAGTCGCCCAGCCTCGGGGCCGGGGCCCCGGTAGGACTTGGAAGTGAGTCGGGGGTACCCGGAATGGGGTGTCTTTTCCGGCAGTCCCACCTTCCAAATCTGCTCCGAGGCGGAAAGACGGGGCTGGGGCGGGGGGTGCACTCTTAGCCTGCCACGTGCTGGACAGCGCCGGTGAGCTGACCGAGGGTGGGGGCGCCCGCGTCTCAGGGTGCGTGTTTACATAGATGTTTCCGCTCCGAAGGCCCCCCCACTCCGCAGTCACTTCCTACCCGCAGGGGGCGGGGGGAGTACGCTGTGGCCCAGTCACTGGACATACACCTGCTGAGGACAGAGGCTTAGCTGGAGGGGAGGCGGGGAGGATGAGGAACTAACCCTCCAGGGACACCCAGGGAGGCCTTGGGTGAAGTTTTGGGGTGCGTGCCTGTGGGGGGTGCGTGTCTGTGGGGGTGCAGGTGCGGAGCAGTGAGATGAGAGATCCCTGTCTAGGTGTGTGTCTCCACCTGGTTGTCAGAGGCCTGGGTTCTTTCTTGTGTGACTGTCCCCGGTTCCGGAAACAGCCCTGTCCCTCTTTCGTCTTCAAAGAGCCCTGGTGGTGCAGTGGTCAAGCATTGGGCTACTGAGCTAAAGTGGGCCGTTCAAACCTCCCAGTGGCCTGAGAGAGACGTGGGGGTCCATGCCCCAGAGGTTCTGACCCAGGAGACCGGCTTGTCCTGTGGGTCACTGTGCATTAGAACATCCCCCCCACTCAGGATAGTGGTGGCCTGGTGGGTTTGTTGAGTTTCTCTGCCCAGAGCTGAGGGCTCAGCAGTTCAGTGTGGGCGCTCTACCTTCCAATGGCTCTACAGAGGAGATGTGGGGATCGGCCCCTTGGGGTCACCATGAGTCAACCTCACGACAAGACAATTCCTTCTTCTAAGAACCTTCTCCAGGGCCTCAAATCAGGACAGGAAATTAGATGTGAAGTCAGAGAACTGAGGCGCGGGTGGGGGTGGGGGGGCTCAGTGCTTGAGTTAGGTCGACCCCAGGGGAGATTAAGGGGTCTGCCTTCCTCCTGCCAGGCTGTTCTTGAGCCAGGAAGAACATTCCCTGGTCCAGGGGTTAGCCTCTGGCCGGGTGGGACTGCCGGAGTTTCGGGTGTGTGTGTGTGTGATTACGCAGTCCCTGCTGACAAAGAGTCCACGTGCTGCTTGGGGCCAGACCTGTTATTGGCCGGGCAGTCACCAGCTGCCCCTCTCATGCCCATGGCGCTCACCCCCAGCACAGTCCCAGAGGTGGGCACTGCCAGGAGCCCTGGGACTGCCATGTGGCTCTAACACAGTCCCCTGGCGACATCCGTGAGGCTTGGGTACAGCAGGGATCTGCACCAGGGACCTCGAGATAGAGCAGAGGGAGGGCTGGGGCAGGGGGTGACCTCGAGGGGCTGACAGTGGCCACTCATGATGGGGTGAGCAGCCCCCAGCTCTTCTGGCTGTGACGACCCAGCCGCTTGCCAGGACTCCCTCGTGGGGCTGAGGACCCCTGCGTTTTGGTTCATTTCTAAACACTTACCCACTGCGTCACCGGGCTTTTTAGAGAGGCGTGAGCTCACTGCCATTAAGGTAGTGACTTCCAGCTGCCCTCTAGAACAGGGAGGAGCTGTCCCTGTGGGGAGCAGACAGCCTCATTTTTCTCCTGCAGAGCAGCTGGTGGTTTTGAACTGCTGATCTTGTGGTGAACACCCCAGTGTGTTACCTCTATGCCACCAGGGCTCAACTCCAAACTCACTGCCCTCGTGTCTGTTCTGACTGATAGCGACCCTGCAGGTCAGGGTAGAGCTGGCCCTGTGTTTCCTAGACTGTGCCGCTTTACAGGAGTGGAAAGCCCCCGTCTCCTGCAGAGCAGTGGGTGGTTTCAAACTGCTGACCTTGTGATTTTACGCCACCAGGGCTCACCCAGAGAGGGGGGCGCCTGAGCAGTCTGATGGGTGGGGTCCTGGAAGTGGCAGGCAGGGGTAGGGGTGATGACGCCACCCCTGAGGACTAGTGGTGGAGAGCAGGGAATGGGATTCACTGGAGGCTCCCTCCCCCGATGGAACCCCATCGCGTTGCTTCTGAGCTGCACCTTCCTGGTTACCAAAGAAAGCAGGCACGCCAAGGCAAAGCCCCGCTGGCCAGCCCCGCCTGCTGGGGCTGAGGGCATTTGGGGAGCAACCTGTCCTGAGCCCTCCAGCCCCTTTGGCACTCCCAGCCCAGGCTGCTGCCGGTGAAGGTCACTC